CTGCTAAAACATGGAACCAAGCAGATTTATAGCATTTCTGGCAGGTGGTTGTTAGACACTCATTTTATATGACACTCTTTGCAATAAGACTATGTTTCCCCAAACTTGACACTTACCATGTTCTTTATCCTATGAGAAGAAAAAACTCCTGTTGTTCTGTTGGAGTAGGTTAGCTTATAAAAATAAAGTGTTGTATCTTTACAAGTTTGAAAAATGTCCAATTAAAAAAAAAATGACAATTTCTTTTCTAGCAGGTAGGCAAAATTCCTTAATCTCTGGTACTTTAAAAAATGTTAAAACAGCTTTTAAAAGAAGACACTAATTAATTGAGGAAAAGACTTGAAAATAACCTTTTCCAAGTTTTAGTTTTTAAATTCTAAAGGATTACATATTCATTTATCATTCAGGTTTGTAAAAGTGCCAGCTATCAAATTTGATATTAAAAACAAGAAGCCTCACATCCTTTGTGGAATAATGTTGCTTTGCCTCCCACGGATTTGTCAACCCTTTTCCCCTGGGTGACGGAGCCACCAAAGATTACTCAAAGCCCATCCCTTCTGAGCAGTGAGAAGCCCCGAAAAGGGGTTAATCTTCCGGAACCCTCAAGATAGAGGCATTCCTTCCATTTGGGAAATTAACCACGAATTGGGGTTCTCTTCTCGCATTTATTCTCCAAACCAGGAAGTTATAGGAAGAGAACATAGGCGGGTTTTTTCTAAGTACAGTTTAACAAGTTTAACAATAGAAGCTGGTAACATTCAGCAAGAAAAGCAAGGTGACATTCCATGATGCAATTTACAACAAAAGCTTGATTTTAGCAAACATTCCCTTCTTACAGCAATTTCCCAGTATCTTTCCATATCAATCAGTAACCTGTCTGTCTTTGAGTCAGCAACCTTGCTGTGTTACAATTCTTTATCTTACAACAGAGACTATAGCCTGGGGAAAATTTCCTGTCCTTTGCAAGGTCAATATTTGAAACTGCAAGGCTTTGGAAAACCAGGCCCTGTGAAGTACATTTGCTTTATGCATACTCCACAGAATAAGGCACAGTATAAACAAAATTAGAACATTGTGACCATTCTTCCTCAATCTTCTCTATTTGTAATATTTCACCCAAGCAGAGAAGCCCAACAAATTTCCCCTTTGCATCAGACACATTTAATTTTCTTGGTTAAATATTCAGAACAAAGTGAGAGTAGAAAAAATGTTTAAAGCACTGATTTCTAACAAACAAATAAGAGGAAACTTGGACATAATACGTTTTATTGCCATCAATCTCATTCTAGTTAGCTAATATTTCAGGCTTTTGCTTGTTTCTCTATATGATAATCTTATACTTTTAGTGCTTTTAATTTGCAACCTGTCTTCAGATACTTTATCAGATCCTTATAACAATCTAATGAGAGAAAGGTGTGTGTGCATGTGTGCGTGTGTGTGTGTGTGTATACAGTCGCCCCTCCTTCTCCAAGGTGAATTGGTTCCAGGACCCTGGCAGATAACAAAAGCCAAGGATGCTCAAGTCCCTTATATAAAATGGCACAGTATTTGATAATTGTGTTTTTTTGTTTGTTTTGGCAGCTGTCTGGTATGGAGATCTGAACCCTTGACTTTGGTGTTATAACAATGAGCTCTAGCCAATTGAGCTAACTGACCAGCCCCTAAAATGGCATAGTATTTGAATATAACCTATGCACATCCTCCCATATACTTTAAATCATCTCTAGAGGGTTATAATCCCTAACACAATGTAAACGATATATAAATAATTGTTATACTGTATTTTTTAAAATTGTTTTTCTTTGAATATTTTCAAGCTGTAGTTGGTTGAATCCACGGATGTGGAATTTGTGGATACGGAGGGCTGACTGTATAAATATAATTTACATATGCAGTGCACATGTATTTTAGTCCCTTTCCCCAAGATGAGGAGGTGGAGATGGCTATACAAGTCTCCCTGCAGGTTAGCTGTTCTGAGGAATAAATGCTGGAAGAAGAGCGTTTCTGAAGCTTGTGGCTCAAGTGTTCCCCACCGCTCTGGCTTGAATAATGTTAAAAAGTGCTATCTTTCATATATAAAATATATACATATTCATAATAAATGCTATTTTTCATACATACATCAAATTCAGTCTACTCATGTTGGCTAGTTTGGTGGGGGAGGTGTTCAGGTACAGAATAGAGGATCATTCTGTAGAGATACAAGGGTACTTCAAAAAGTTCATGGAAAGATATGTATTATCTTTTTTTTTTTTCTGGCGGCTAGCTGATATGGGGATTGGAACTCTTGACCTTCCTATTATCAACTTCCCATTGTCTAACCAACCGAGCTAACCAACCAGCCAGCCTTGTGTTATCTTTTAATTGCATTTTTCCATGAAGTTTTTCAAGTACCCTTGTATGTTGATGAGGCTCAAGGATTAACTAAGTGGTTGAATAAGCTATCATTTTAGGCTCTTTGCTGCCCTCAAGCCTAGGAATTTGTGAGATGACAGAGGGTGGATTAAGAATGAAGTATGTAACAATTCTTCCTGGCAAATCTGGTCTTATCTAGTTTCTTTTTTGTCTTAGCAACAGAAGCAATGGCTTTCACAATTTAGGTAACCAAAAAGTAAAATTTCAGTGAAAGCCACTTGTATTAGTCTGTTTCTGTTACTTATAACAAAATACCTGGAACTGGATGATTTAGAAAGAAAACGAAATTTATTGCTTACAGTTTCTGAGGCTGGTAAGTCCAAAGTCTATCTGGTGGTGGCGACAGTGACCCAGGGGTCTCACATTGCAAGATGGTGGAAGTACAGAGAGCAGAGAGACACTCTCCTTTTCTTTTAAAGCCCTCAGAACCATGCCCCTGACCATTTTAAATCAATTCACTACTGCACTGTCCTACAATCCAATCACCTGTTCAAGGCTCCACCTTTCAATAACGATAATAGGATTTCCCACTCTGTTAACATTCACAGTGGGGGCTAGGTTTCTTTCTTTCTTCTTTTTTTATAAAGATGACCGGTAAGGGGATCTTAACCCTTGACTTGGTGTTGTCAGCACCACGCTCTCCCAAGTGAGTGAACCAGTCACCCCTATATAGGGATCTGAACCCGCGGCCTTGGCGTTATCAGCACCACACTCTCCCAAATGAGCCATTGGCCCGCCCTGGGACTAAGTTTCTAATACACAAAACTTGGGGGACACTATTCAAGTTTCAATGAGTTTTCGGGGGACATATTCAATCCACTACACCACTTGAGGTATAAACCATGGAACTATATATACACTGTTGGGGGAGTTAATTCAGTGTTAATGCTAGGGTACTGCAGTGTACAATAGATAATTCTCAAAAGTTACTTTAGATAAAATGTTTCAGCTAATTAGAGCAATCCAATAATGAATTCTTACAGTAAAATTACCCTAAGTTTTGTAAGTCCATATGTTAATATGAAATAGTGCTTATGCTGTGCAATTTCCTAATTTAGATGCAGTTTTGTTTTAAATATGATGCTGTAGTTTCAGGGTTCAAGAAGTACAGTAACTAATAACCATTACAAATTGATTACATTGAGCAAGCGATAGCATATTCATTGTACAAATCATAGGTTTTTAATACCACTGTGCAGACAAAAATGACTAAGCCTGCAAGCCAAACGTGGATCATAGATAGTAACTTTTTTTTTTTTTTTTAATTTTTTTTTTTCAGCACCACGCTCAGCCAGTGAGCGAACCGGCCATCCGTATATGGGATCCGAACCCGTGGCCTTGGTGTTATCAGCACTGCCCTCTCCCGAGTGAGCCACGCGCCGGCCCATAGATAGTAACTTTTTTTTTTTTATTTAATTTTTTTTTTTCAGCACCACGCTCAGCCAGTGAGCGAACCGGCCATCCGTATATGGGATCCGAACCCGTGGCCTTGGTGTTATCAGCACTGCACTCTCCCGAGTGAGCCACGGGCCGGCCCATAGATAGTAACTTTTAAGACTAAAAACCTACCTGATAGTGACTTTTATGTGTTCATCCCTGAAATTCAAAAGTGACCTCACTGAATCAAAGCTCAGTATTTCTTAAAATCTAGAAAGCTGTACAGAATTTTTGATCCTAGGCTAGTTCCACTTACTTGGGATCAAACATAGAAAAACAAGCAACCTGGTCCATTAATTTTGATGTTGAATATGTGGTTAGAGAGCATATTTGGATATGTTACAGGACCTGAGATACGAGGCAAACTTGTAATCGGTGTAAATGTTGATGGGGAAAAATACCTCTAGCATACAGGGGCGTTTTCTTTTGAACTGCCTAGAGTTCCTTGGAGGATGAGCACGAACTCAGCAGGCCCTGCCCTCTAGTGGATATGGGTGTGAGAGAACTTCGATTCAATGTGCACTGTATCTGGTTCACCAAAGCTTATTAAAACCAATCATCCATCTAAAAGCACCCATTAGGGGTCTGGTCTGGGTGAGGTGCTAAGCAAGTGAAGGGTTCACGTGGCAAGTGGCAAACAGTGGCAAAAGGTAATGCCCGTTCTCCGGCTTCAGTCGCAGGATGATTGGTTTCTAGTTGCTGTTCCAGTCTCTCTTGGGTTCCATACACTGGGAACGGATTTTAAAAGGTCAGGAGTCTTCCCACGAGCTGAGACTGAACCTTGCCCTCTCATTACATACGGGCACTGAAGCACACCCCTTACCAGGACAGAATTTTGGGAAGTCGCCCCGCGAGAATCGGCTCCTGCAATTAGAGCGAAGCAGCCAGTGCAGGAGTTTGCAAATAAGAGTGCGAAGCTCGGGAGGTTGTTCACGGTGCCCCAGTCCCTGGCAGAAACTCTGGTTCCCTTCAGCGCTCGCCCCTTTCTTCGGCGGCCCTCGCGTCGTCTGCCGAGATTGTGACGGCGGCCACGACGGGAGGGGCTTCCCTTGTCGCCTTTGTTGAGAGCTCAAACGCATCGGGGACAGCGGCCATAACTGAGCCTGCTGGCTTGGCCCAAACCCGCGGCCACCTCATGGGCGAGTCTCCGACCCTTGCGCCCAGTGGGTGCGTAGAAACGGACGGGCACCGTCAGGGAGATCAGCGAGGAGCCGCCACAGGGTAGGCAGGGATAGGTCGGGCGGCCAATCCCGCTCAACCTCCTACCAGGCTGGTCTGGACTCAACCATCGCCCATTCGGGGCCGATAATTCGGCCCTCACTTCACTTCCGCCTTCCCCGCCCGAGGGTGCGAATGCGCCTGCGCGCGCGCCTCTCGCAGCGGAAGTAGTAGCGACAAAGCTCGGTGCGCTGCGGTCCCGGGAGTGCGGGGTGCGCCAGGGCGGCCAGCGGCGGGGAGGGGCGGAGCGCAGGGGGCGGAGGCGGGAGCACACCGGCGTGGTCGCACCGAGTCGCCCGGGCCGACCGTGACGGGCCCCCTCACCTCCTCTCCTTTCCCCTCCCCGCCCGCCCTACCGCTAGGGCGGCCGGCGGCGGGGAGGGGCGGAGCGCAGGGGGCGGAGGCGGGAGCACACCGGCGTGGTCGCACCGAGTCGCCCGGGCCGACCGTGACGGGCCCCCTCACCTCCTCTCCTTTCCCCTCCCCGCCCGCCCTACCGCTCGCTTCTTCTCACGACGCGAGCAGACTCCCGCCTTGCGCCGCTGCCCCGCGAGGAGCTTCTCTTCTCCCGAGGCGCGCGGGGTGTCCCCGCGAGCCCCGCGGGTGAGTCCCCTCAGCCCGGAAGAGGAGAGGTCTGGGGCTTTGGGAGGGTACAGCTATTACCGCCTGACCCCATTTCCAGAAACTTCCAGGTCCAGAGGGAAGGGGGTGGCCAGGGATACCCTGGCCGGGGGGCGTCTCTAGGGCGCCGCCCCGCTGGCGTGTGCCGAGTCGTTGAGGGCAGCCGAGGGGCGGGTGCAGGATCTGGATCTGGGGGCTCCCGAGGTGGCGTCTGGGTGGGGATCTCCCTCCTCATCCTCTCGTCAGCGCCGCTTCTCCTGGTTTCTCTTGCAGATGCTGCTGCTAGGGGTGGTGGGAGCAGCCGTGGGACGCGTGGCCGGGAGCGGGGGTGACAGCCTGGGATTCCGGGGGCTTCTCTTCCTTGTCCTCCTCTCTTCTGTATTCCCAGTGTGGCCGTGGCTGACACTAAAGACTTTGTAGCCATCAACCCGAGTGCAGTTTCGATGGAAAATGAAGGTAAAGGCCCCTGGTAGACGGGTTGCAACGCAGAGTAGAGGGTGTGGTGGTTTGCTTTTAAGTTGCCTGTCTTTATCCACCTTTTTATTTTTGTGATTGTATGTTTTTCTTTGCTTGTGAAATGTCCAAGGATTTTCTTTCTTAGGGTATCTAGCTTTTATTTTGGCACTATGGGGGCATTTTAGGCATTAAGGTTCTGTGGGTGACTGAGCTAGATTCTGCTTTCCTGAGAAATTCCTGCTTTCTTTAGCTTAGGTAACGGAAGGGAAGTTTTCATTTCAGATAGCGTCTATTAATGTTTTAATAGTTATTTGAAAGGAGTCACCCGAGAGGAAGTGGAAATGGGGAAGGGGATGAACTGCATCTCTGTTTGCCTATCAAGCTTTGGTGTGGTGTGTGACTGGATTCATTTATGAGAAAGAAAACGATTTTTTATCTCTAGCTTTGGGAAAAAAATTTTTTTCAATCCACAAAAAATCCTCTCAATTTAATGAAATATCATGACGTGATTTTCTTTCCTGAAGTTCTGCCCTATTTCCTAACATAATTTAGGAGGTTGACAGTGAAACCTGTTTGTCTACTGTACACTTTGGGCGCATTAGATTGTAATTCACACATTTACTTGATTCCTTTGTCCTCATTAAAATATTTAATCTTTTGCATACACTGCACTGATTATTTTTTAAAATCGTTGAGCGACTCTGAATAAATGATTTTTTTCCTTCCTGAAATAACCACACTTATTTTTTGGACTGACTTCTGACATGTATGTGATATCTTTTTTTTTCTGGGTTGCAAAATGCTGTAAAAGATAGTTAACAAATTACAATCTTTTCTGGTGTATCTTTTGTTTTTTAAGATCTGTATCTGGTACAAAGAGCTGCAGATGAGCTTGCTGGATGCTTCTAATTTGTTTTTCCATTGTTGAAAATGTAAGCTTGATTGTCAAAGTAGGACTAGTAATTTTAAGGTAGATGTTTCTTATAGATACAGTAATCTGTTTTGCTGTACGAAACCTCTGGGATATGTAAGAAATATGATGAGGGCCATGATTATATTGCCCAGTTTTACTCTGGATGAATAATTGGTGGAAGACATTTTCTGAAATACTAAAGTGTGTAACTGCAGAGGAGTTATACTGTCTAATTGGGTCTTGTGAAAGCATTTGAAAGCAGCAATGTTTTTGTCTAGTGGTATGGAAAATCACTTTTCTGAGCCTTTTTCCTGTTTGTCTTTTAGTTTATGGATTTGAGAAAGGCTAATCTATTCTGCACATGAGACAAAGAATATTAAATACGCTCGTATACCTGTTTCTTGGTAGAAACATCTTAAACAACATCTAAAACTTAGTATATGGTTGTGAGCTTCTTTTTTCAGAATGTTACCAGATTTAAGAGAGTAGCCTTAAGTAGGTGGATTCTTAGATGTTGCTTTTGTGTCTCCATCTTTTAGGAAGAAGAGCATGAGTAACAAAGCTGACTCTCATCTACTGAGGTGGGAGGGGGTGGCTGAATGATAGGAGCATGGTGTCTGTGTCTCTGTATTTTATGGCCAAATATGAATGATGTGGCTTCGTAATAAAAGATTATACTTATACAACTCTTAAAAATTTGCGGGGTTTTCTGCTTCACGATTCTTGACCATCAAGAGACCATTTTTGTTAGTTTCTTACTATTCTGTTTTTTCCTTTTTTAATATTTAAACATTTTAAAGAAGAACTTATACATAGCCTAGAAATTTTCAAAAGCAATTGACCATCTTAAAATACATAGATTGACGTCATGTATCTTTTTATAGTTTGTATCCTCCTTTGATATGGTGTAATATTAATAGCTTGGAGGTATGAAACAAAAATGGATACAAATCTTGCCTTTACCTCTTAAAGCTGTGTGACTTTAGGCAAATTACTTCATCTTTTTTGAACCTCTATTTCCTTATCTATAAATTGGGATTGATAATGTTTAGCACACAGAGTTGAGAGGATTAATTGAGTAACCCTGTATAAATTCTCTTGGGAGGGAGGAAGGATAGAGTTTAAGAGCATGGGTTATGGAGCCAGGCAACCAGGTTTGAATGCTGGATCCCCACTTAACATTATTTGACCTTGTGCAAATTATTAAAGCTTTTTGTGCTTCAATTTCTTCATCTATAAAATAAGGATAATGATAGAACCTGCCTTATGAGGTTGTTGTAAGTACTTAGGACAGTATCTGTGAGTGTGTAGTAAGTGCTCAATAAATGCTAATTGTAAATAGCATAGCCTGATGTTTGATGCATACTAATATGCAATTTGGTATTAATTTTGTTACAACAGTTAAATATTGGAAGGGGGACCAGTAGTGGCCAAAATGCTCTATGTGAAGTTGTCATTATTAGTTAAAGGATGGGTGGAGTTAAGTAAGGAATTTTCTATGTTGTTAGTGCTTTAAGCCTGTAGATAAAGTCAGGGCTCTACGAAAAAGCCAGGGGCCAGTGTGGAAAGAGACAGGCTTGGATTTGAATCCAGGAAGATAATTTTCATCTTTCAAAAACCGGACAAGTTACTGTGTGTCTGAACTTTCTCAACTTCTAAGTTTTCTCATCTGTAAATGGAATAATGCCCCTCGGAGGATTAGTGTGAATAGTAAATGAAGCCTGGAATGCAAAGTGGCCAGAATTGTGGTTGACACAAAGTTAGCTTGCATGAGTGATTTGAGTGATGCTGCTGTTCCTCAGAAACAGAGAACCTCCAGTAGGTATGCAGATGAGTTATATCTCTAGGTGTGAACAGTGTAGAATTGATAGTGGCTCCATAGAGTATCAGCATGAAGGTTTTTAGGTAGTGTGCATTATCTGTAATGGTTGTTGGAGAAGGGAATGGCTTCCTCCTTGTGGTTCCCTTCAGCAATGGTGATATTTTCCTTGGCACTTCAGTTTCGATTCTTGAAGGCCTTTCTCCCAGGGCCCCCTTAAACTTTTGCAGCAAAGCTTGATCCATTTTTAGCCATAGACCACCGGATGCTTCATGAATACTCCCTGCTAGTCACTAGGAGCATTTGAAGTGTTAATTTCCTAGAATTTCAGGGACTGGTCCTAGACAACCATCTGTGTTAGGATTTTATCTAGATCCTTTGGATAGAAGATCCTTCTTCTTACATGTTTATTGCGAATCTAAACAGATACCACTAAGGAATCTGAGATACACAAATAAACTGCTCTTTTTCTGATTTTAAAAAGTCAATTGGGCTGGCCAGTTGGCTCAGTTGGTTAGAGCACAACCTTGTAACACCAAGGTCAAGAGTTTGGATACCCGTACTGGTCAGCCACCAAAAAAAAAAAAAAAAAATCAGGATTTCAGGACATGGTTAATATTATAGACAAAGCTAGTAAGTCTATAAAATAGTCCCCCAATCTCTTTGGATGGTATTTGAAAATGATAGTATTTGTATTTACACTTTTTGAAATAGTTTCTTATGCAGTTTCAAATTGTTAATCATCTAGGAATGCCTCAAAAAAATTGTTAGGATAGTTGGAAAAACTATAAGGAAAAAGGGACAAGAAACTACCTTACCTGTATTCCTTTAATTGGAAATAGGAAACCAGATTATAAAAATATTTTATATACTTAGGTGTGGGAAACATAGTTTGTTTTGTTTGCAATTTTGTTAATAAAATGATAATCAGTACTCTGGAAAAGAGTTGAAACTAAAAGAGATTATGAATGTGACAGCATTTTATAAACTGTAGTAATTAAGCCAGAGGAAGGATGCTGCAGAGATAATTTGTAAGCAGTAGCCTTCTAACAATTGAATCCTAAATACTTGATTTGTCTTAATGTTTTTGTCATTCATTTAATGTCAGCAGAATTCAAGTCTGTTAGCTGAAGCGTTATTATGAAGCAAAGTAGTTTCCTAGGGAACACATCCCTTGGGGACCAAGACTGATTTTCTTTTGAGATCTTGGCAGGTTAAATTTTGTTTTAAAGGTGGAAAGAACACCTTGGCCTGATGGTAGTTAGCTGGGGTGAATATTAAATTTACTGTTGTTACATGTAACATCTTAAAGATATCTTAAGGATCAGTCCAAGAGGTCCCCCCACATTTACTTTTTAAAAGTCAAATTCTTTTTATAATGGTTTCAGGCATCAGTTGTGACAAGGTTATCTTTATGCTTTTTGTATGAATAAGTTTTGGCAAAAAGGCAGTAAAGTAAAAACTGGTTGGGTGAGCTCTGAGGTTAATGCCATCATTTCATACAGGAAAGGATTTCTTTAAAAAAAAGTCAGGCTGAACTGATTATTTCCTCTTGGATTTTTTTTTTTTTTTTGGTAGCTGACCGGTAAGGGGATCCAAGACCTTGGTGTTACCAGGAGCATGCTCTACTGAGTGAGCTAACTGGCCAGCCTTCCTCTTGAATTTATATGGCTGATATTTATATGCATTTGTTAATATATCTTCTGTCTTCTGGCTTTAAGTTGCTATTGACAGAGGTGTAAATTTTAGAATTACAAGTGAATTACTTAAAAATTGTGTTGAATTAGGTTACTTAGACTAAACTTGTGATACATTTAGAAAAAGTTTAAATGAAAAGTTAAAAGGCTATCATAGGTTATAGACAGAAGGAGAGTAATAGCATGGGTCAGAAAAACTACGTTAAAATAGCTATAACTGGGCATCTAATTCAATTTCAGTCTTTTTTTTTTCCTGCTACAGGTATTAGTGTGTGAACTGGAAATATTTAATATACCTGTTAATTATAATTGCTTGCTTAGGTCAGGCCTTTGGATTTGACAGTTGGTCATTTCATAAATGTGCTGACCTAAACTTGCGTCTGTCCCCCAAGAGGAAATGCAGCAATTTAGCTTGATGTCCTTTATTCTTTTAGAAAGCTCTGAGACATTGAAGCATCCTAGTAGAAATTATTTTCATTTATGTAATTAATTAAAACAAATAACCTGATAAAGTTGGAATGAATAGTGGCAGGACCCTAAATACTAAATATATTTGCCACTCTGTACTGTT